ATATTAACTGGCTGGGATGAAACTCCAATGGAGTCAATCAAATTGTCTAATATTATTCTGACATTTTTACTTAATTAACCTGTTTAATCTCTGATGAACTGATTTTGGTGAGTTATATGCTCCAAATGTATTTGTACATTCAGAGCGATTGATATGGCTAACTATGTTTGGAATCTGCAGAAGAAATTTAGAATGCAGTGGGTTGTGTTAAAACGCTAAAAGGTCACCTTAACTGCAAATTCTCAAACATTTGCTTTGGGTGGTATCCAGCGAATTACTACTAAAACAATGAAGTTATCTGTGTGTTGAAGAACAGTATTTATGGCAAATGCTTTCCCTAAATTTACATGTCATACCTTTTCTATAGATTATAATGTGAAAGCATTTCACACGCAATGGTATGTCATCGTTATCTTCTAATCTCCATTGAATTTAGTTAATTTACAACCAACAAGTGCAGTTTATCGCATATTAAAATAATCTGATTTTTAACAGGATTTATTTAGAAATGTTGATTTAATCTAAGTTGAAACACAAATTTATAATCTTAAATTCCTAGCTCGATAAGATAGTCATTGATTATAAAATAATCCTAAAAGTGACGTTTATCATCTATTCAGTCACTCGGATGTATGTTTTAATGTATTTTGCTCCAAGTATAGTTCAGCGGATTGCTACACTAGTAAGGTCTGATTGACTCAGAAATCTCTGTGGCAGATTCCCTAACATATAGCTTGACTTCCACAACTAGCTAAGCTATAGCCCAGCTATAAAAGAAACAGGCGTACAGCAAGGAACACGTTAATTCAGTAAGTATCTTGTAAACAAAGTGTACACGCAGGAAGCTTAATCATGATCAGGATGGCAGATTAGGTTAAGCAAACAGATGTTAAGGATTGGTCACTGTTTGTACGGTCGCACCTCCCAAGCAAACGGAGACTACGGATTGGCCACTGTTAGTGCGGTCGCTGTACACAGATTTGTACGGCCGTACCTCCAAATACTGGCGAACAAGCATATGATGACGCACTAAGCGATAACGTGGCCCACAATAGCACCGAAATATGTGCAGAAGAAATAACATTGAGGTTGATTGGATGAGCTAAACTAATTTAGAAAGAAAACATGTTATAATGGCAAACGATCCCTATGTGTTGATTTTTGACTAAATTTCTTTACTTGTGTCAACAATTTTCTTATATTAAAATTCGATATTAAAGATTGAATGATGTTCTCAAGCCTTAATATGGCTACCTTCAATCAGTGACTAATCAACTGCTTTCTCAAATGCTCTACGAATTTATCACATGATACAAATATTCGGCATAATTCATTGGTGCCAAGTTACCTATACGCCTACGACTTTATTGGTGCCTCCCTCAGTTGCCTGCGTATGTCATGTGATGCATGATGAAGAAAAACAGAATGAATCAATGCGCTTAGCGGGCAATTAGGTGTAACTTGAGTACACTCAACCGTATCGGTTCTGTCTTGACATTTTCAAGCCTTAAAAATTTTACAATTTTTATTTTTATTTTAGATTTCAATGATTAAAGTAGTTTATTTTAATTTGCAAAAGCGAATCACATATCAGCTCGTATATTCCTCATTGTTGTCACATTCAGAAGTGATAAGTGTTCACACGGTTACCCGATGGCCTCCATTGCATCTGCGTTTTACCTATCTCTTAAACTAAATCTCTGCGTTTGAGAACTTCGGTCTAATGCAAACGAGTTCAAATTTCACAATATGACAAACATCCCCGTGTTGTAGAGAACTTTACTACACTAACTCTCTGACAGGTGAATAAAACTTATTCAGTACTACCTTGTCTGTTCCAGTGCAAAGGGTCTCAATAATCTCCATTCTAGTTCTCCTTTCCGTATTCAAACACAGTTTCAACACTGATTGAATTTTCGTAATTGCGCAAAATCTAGTTGAAATTTGTGGGTCGGTGAATTTCGCCCGAAGTACTATCACTCTATTCAATATCAACATACACCATCCATACCTGACCATTAGATGCTCTTCAATTTTTTTCCAATTTGTTAGTTCTGGGTTGACACAATTGATAACCCAATATAATCTTAAATGAAGATAGTCATGAAACAGCACTATATCGGACTCAAGGCTGCCAAAATTTAAATTTTAGCAATACCTTTTTACATTTGATTTTCAATTTTATGACAGACAGTTCTTTGTTTTTAAACAAAATGGTATTTATTTGGGTCAATTTAACTTTTAAAGTGTTTATAATCATATTACATGTTTGCAAATCAAAACTGGATGGCAGAATTATTTCAAGCTCCAAATTGTTATTCCAAATGTAACTAAATAATAATAAAAATGGGTTCAAGTGAATAGGTGGTACAAAACACATTGATAACATAAGATGACATCGAAAAAGGGATAACTTGCTTGTGAACGAGTATCCGATTGAGCCACCTGCATAGTAGAACGAGTAAAGCAATGAAAAACAGAGCATTTTTGTTACAGCAGAAAAAAGCAATTTCAATTATGACAATGGTAATAAGATGCTTTCAGATGGCTTAGTTCAGTTTCTGAAGCAGAGAAACCTTCAAAAAGACTAAAAATTCCATGTAGTCGTTAAGCCATTAATGCATCATTTGAAACACACATGACACGTTCGAAGTCCAATGTCGGGATAAATGCAAATGCAGACTTACCACTGCTTGTTGTCAATGGGTTGCCACTCTCTGAAAATATAAAGAGATATAATGAATTCTTTACCGTCATTTGAAGAAATAAATAGTTTCGTTCAGTAAATATTTCAACAAAAATGCGATTACCTAATTCTCATTTTTTTGTTTATTTGTAGCTCTTTCTATGTTGTGCATTTGCTATGTTTATTAAGATATGCATTTTCACACTTGGCATCGTTTAAATGAACAATCTAAAAGGATTCTTACTGTTTTAAATAATATGACTTATTTTTTATGATAGATAATTATTTATAGAATTTTTATACCATAAAATACATATATATATATGCCAGTAAAAGAATTTTTAACTTGTCATTGTGACTTTCCACAAACACACTGAAGAGACCAAAATAAATTGAAGATAGGAAATGGATATGAAAGAGAGCAAATGGAAATGTGCAAATGCTCTTTTACATCTGACATGGCGATTTCATTCACTTCATGTTTGTAAACAAGTGTGTAATCAAACTGATTTTTAGCCTCGTTCTTAGTTAAATCCTCTTTCATTGCAAACATTTGGTAATAAGTTACATGAATTGAGGAATAAGTTTAATTTTAATTACTCACTACAGTATTTTCTATCGTGATGCGATTTGGATTTAATTCCAGTCCATTCGCATATAGTCTTATCTCCCACTTTCAAATCACTCTTAAAAAGAATATATTTAATTCATTTTTAAATAAAATTACAAGTAGATTACAAAACATTAAGCAATCAAATTGTAATTACGATATAAAAATAAATAATCCAACATTTGGTTACTTAAAAATGCATCTAATGAAAAAAATAAGCATATATTTACATGGCTTGACGATCCATTTATTGAAAATAAAATTTCAACAGAGTTCCTTGCTTTTGCATACCTGGCAAACGGAAACGACACATTCATAATCACTTCACCTTAAATATACGCCGAAAATTATAACTTTGACAATAGATTCGCTATTGAAGGAGAAATAGAGGCCATTAGGATAGGACTATGCCAATTATGTTGCCTGGATACGAAATTCACCAAAGCGGTGATACTTTCGGACTCACAGTCAGCAATAAACTCAATTGGAAACAGAAAGCCACCCAAAACACATGAAATATAGGAAGAGCTGCTGAGAGAGTAAAACAAAACAGTGGTCCTACAATGGATTCCTGGTCACTGTGGCATTAAAGACAATGAGATTGCTAACACACTTGCTAAGAAGGGGAAAACGATTTTGCAATGCATGGACCGCCCGATGTCTTTCCACACAATGAAGGCCTTAATCAGGAGAAAATTCAAGACCTCAAGTTGCAACGAAATTAAAGCTCGAACGAAGGCGAAACAGTGGACAGAAGCACTCTCCGATATAGCCGACTGGTCAAGAATCGAAGCCGTTGCTGGGTTTAGACTACGTAGCGGACACTATTGCTTGGCAAAACACCTTCAAGGATTGGGAGTATACACTCAACCCACATGCCCTCTATGTATCTACAGGAGAAAATGGAGAAGACCCACCTGATTCGGTGTTCAAAGGAGGAAATGGAGAAGACCCACCTGATTCGGTGTCTAGCGGAGGAAATGGTGATGACCCACCTGATTCGGTGTCCAGCTCTAAAGACAACGCAGACCCACCTGATTCGGTGTCCAGCTCTAAAGACAAGGACATGGAGTCTGATTGTGAAACCTACAGGAGGAAATGGAGAAGACCCATCTGATTCTCTACAGGAGAAAATGGAGAAGACCCACCTGATTCGGTGTTCAGACGGAGAAGACCCACCTGATTCGGTGTCCAGCCCTAGAGACAAGAAGAAGACCCACCTGAATCGGTGTCCAGCCCTAAAGGCAAGGACGGAAAGCCAGAGATACTGGGGAGAAAGAAGACAGCTAATGAATTGTTATTAATTAACTGCGATATGTGTACCCCCCCCCTCTTGGGTGAAGCTGAAGTCAAAATTTAAGGGCTAATAATCAATATCACAAAGCCTGCCATTTGAAATAAATAAATAAAATTAAAAATACTTTTTATATTTTTCTATAGTCATTATGGTTTCACCATAATCATCTACGGCTCTCGGCTGCTTCTTACCTAGTTTAGCGGGCTTGAATATGCACTTTGGAGCAAACGTTACGATCCAATCTTCTCCTCCACTACTAACAAACAGTTGTCGATATTTTGTAACATTATCAATTGTAATAGTAAGGAAACCTATACAATGTTTGATAAACAAAGGTCTGAAAAACATCAAGAATATCTTTACCAGACTCATTTTTACAAGGTTTCGCAATCACAGCTTCCATCACTTATACTGACTGGAAGTTTTTCGCCCTCCGTAGTGACGAAAACGAGCTGAAAGTTGAAAATTATAAGAAGATAAAACATTTACATTAAAATTTACCTGGTCTTTGGTAGCAGTAAACAGCAGTGGGGCCGTTGTCCTATTTGGTGTGGCAACAATTCTTGAACATAGAAAACCTGACGAATCTGCTTCCTCTATTGCAATAGGAGCATTAATGTGCAACAAAACCAAAATAAAGCGATTGAAATTCATTTGTTTGGATATGTGTTTCAAAATGTGTCACACTTATATATTTATCCCTTTTTTAAAATTTAATTGCCTACGTGCGCTTGCTTAGATAGTAATGGAAGGTCGTTTATGCTGTGTCATAAAGAAGACTCAATTGACGCAGAAGAAATGTGTGCAAAACAGATTAAATTGAAAAAACGCAGCAAAAATGAATCAAACTTAATTGCCCGAGTTCAATAGCTTCCTAATCAGACATCTTAAATTATTTGATTATAAAATATATGTCAGTAAAAAATTGACAACTTGTTCATTGCTACTTTCCACTAACACAAAATTGAAGATAGGAAATAAATATGAAAGAGAGCATGAACAATGTGCAAATGCACTTTAACATTTTGAAAGCTATACGGTGCGCAAACGACTGTCTAAGTGGGTAGAGTCCAAAAAACGGTAACTGGTAAATAAGATCAGTCAAATTAATTTACAATATTTTCAATTTTTTGATGATAATACGAAGCAAAAACACTAATTTGTGAACGTGTCTTTGAAAATGAATAACTTTCCTTCGAATGTTCATTCTTTTGGTTTAGTAAAGTAATAAAGAAGACTTGTGTAAAATGGAAAAATAGAATCGATTTCAAAATCAACTACGACAATGGTATTTTAAACGATTTCACATATTTTAGCTTAGTATCGAATTGAATGAACTGCACATCTAAAATATATTTGAATTAACGTTTCATTACAAGAAAGGCAAATTATTTGTTTAAATTTTGTTTTGCCTAATCAATTTTTGAAGAGCTAGCTTTAATTTTGTAATATTTAAAATTTTTTTGGTCTCATTTGAATGTCGGTGTTATGATTAAAGTAAACTCCGACTTACTTATATAAACTGGAAAGGCCTTGTTCATTGATGAAATGAGCATTATACTTTTGGCAATGCTTATTACAGCAAAATTTTGAAACTCATTTCACAAATCTTGTAACTCTCTGTGATTTATTCCTTGTTGTGAACTTTGTGGATAGGAATTAATATAAATGCCAAATAAACTTGCATTTAATGGCTTGTCATTTGTAAATTCAAGAAGATTAGCAGTGGCCAGCATGGCATTGATTAAAGTAATTATATAAGGGTATTAATATTATTGAAATATTTATTTATTTATATCAAATGACAGGCTTTATGATATGTATCATTAGCCCTTTAGTTGACTTCAGGCTTCACAGAGGAGAAGGAACATCAAATTAAAAAAAATCGAGAGGCGGGGGGGGGGGAACAGAAGAGTGTTTCAAAGATGTAAGAGACAGACACAAAGGGAGAACAAAGGTGAGGTGAGTACTGTGGAAGAAGTCGAATATGACATACAGTGTGGTGATGGTAGTTTGAAGTGAGAAGTCAACTGCCAGTTAATAGACTTTTTTGCCGTATGAATATACGTTGCCCAGGGTGCACCACGCGGAGGTGAGTCTATCGCACACCTCTTATTGAAATATAAATAGCAATATTATTTATATCAAATACTGATTTATGAAATAATTCATGAGTAAAAGTATTTAAATATATATATATATATATATAAATATACATATATAAATCATTTTCATTTCAAAAACACAACAATTGTGAATTTTAACTGTAAATGCGAAAGAAGTATTCTTCACGAATTTAAGGGGGCATTCTGGTCTAGAAAAAAATATTTTCAAAAATATTTACCCATATTTTCATAGTTTAACTATTTAAGAATATGTCTACGATAGAATTTTTCAAAATGCAAATTAGTTTTG